CTAGCAGGAATCACGCCCTTCCCCCACCCCAGCTTACTGGTGGGAGGAACAGAAATGGAGCAGGGAGGGGCTGGAAGCCTACCACTGCTAAACACACAGCCCTGGAGATATCCTTTGGGAGCACAAATGGACATTGCATGGTGCTTTGGAGATTAGGAGGGTTGGAAAGCTAAGACAGGCAAAATACATGGAGAGACTGAGATTCCAGCCATTTGTGGAGGAAAAGGATGCACATCCAGCTGCTCTGGGACAAAGAAAAGGCAGGTGGACTGAGAGGCTTCCTAGAAGTGAGAGGGCTGCTGAAGGGGCAGGGATTGCTTGGAGATTGCTGCTCAGGAGAAGGGATAGGTGGAGAAGGTTGTCTGCACACAAGCTGCCCAGCAAGTTGGGAACTTTCAGGATCTTCAGGTGCTCGATCCCCCGGTTAGCCACTCATATCTGAGGCCCCCCAATGTGGTATGCAACCTGCTGCGCCTTCCTCCTGGCCTGCCAGCACCAGCTCACAAACTGACAGTCCCTGCCATGGCGTCAGGACAGCTAGAAGGAGGCCCCGCCTACAGCAGTTACAAACACAAAGCACAGAGGCTTATGCCTGTGTGTTCAGCCTACTGGTTCTGACAGAGGAGACAGGCAGTGCAGCCGGGAAGCAGGAAACAGCTCTTTTCTCCCCGAAAGTACCAATGCAGCTCCCCTGTGACCCACAACATCACTCCAGGGCCTGAGCAGTTCCAAAGATGAGAGCTTCTGGACACCAGAGTTTCACATACAAACATGAAATGTCAAAGGAACCTGGTTCAAACAAAAATCTCAAAAACACCAGGAAAAGGGCCTAGTGAAACTGAACTCACCAATCTCACTGAAAGAGAGTTCAAAATAAAAATCATAAACATGTTCACAAAGGTACAGAAAAGTATTTAAGAGCTCAGGAAAGAATTTAGGATGGAGACTCAATCATAAATAAATTCCATATCTGAATTGAAACATAAAATGGAGGGATTTAAAAGCACATTATATGTAGTAGAAGACATGGAAAATGGAATAGAAATTAGAGAAGAGGAATACAAAGAAGAGGCACAGAGAGAAAAAAGGATCTCTAAGAATAAAAGAATATTGAGAGAACTGTGTGACCAATCCAAATGGAACAATATTCGCACTATAGGGGTACCAGAAGAAGAAGAGAGAGGAAAAGGGGTAGAAATTGTCTTTGAGGAGGTAATTGCTGAAAATTTCCCCAATCTGGGAAAAGAGTCTCTCAGGCCATGGAGGTGCACAGATATCCCAACACAAGGGACCCAAGGAAGACAACACCAAGACATATAATAATAAAAATGGCAAAGACCAAGGTTAAGGAAAGACTTTTAAAAGCAGAAGAGAGAGAAAAAAGATCACATACAAAGGAAAACCCATCAAGCTATCATCACACTTCTCAACAGAAACCTTACAGGCCAGGAGGTAGTGGTATGATATAGTTAATGCAATGAAGCAGAAGGGCCTTGAACCAGGAATACTCTAACTAGCAAGATTATCATTTAAATTTAAAGGAGGGATTAAGCAATTTTCAGATAAGCAAAAGCTGAGAGAATTTAAATCTAACAAACCATGTCTACAGTGCATTTTGGAGGGACTGCTATAGATGGAAATGTTCCTAATGCTAAATACTGTCACCAGGGGAAATAAAACCACAGCAAAGAAAGTAGAACAATTAATTACTAAGCAGTTGCAAAATCAAATCAACTAACCCCAAAGTCAGTCAAAGGATAGCAAAGAGTACAGAATATGATACCTAATATATAAAGAATGGAGGAGGAAGAAAAGGGAGAAAATAAAAAAGAACCTTTAGATTGTGTTTGTAATAGCATATTAAGTGAGTTAAATTACACTGTTAGATGGTAAGGGAATTATGGTTGAACCTTTGGTAACCACAAATCTAAAGCCTACAATGGCGATAAGCACATCCCTATCGATCATCACCCTAAATATAAATAGTCTGAATGCACCAATCAAAAGACACATAGTAACTGAATGGATAAAAAAACAAGACCCATCTATATGCTGCCTACAAGAGACTCACTTCAAACCCAAAGGCATACAGAGACTGAAAGTGAAGGGATGGAAAAAGATTTCATGCAACTAATAGGGAGAAAAAAGCAGAAGTTGCAGTACTTGTAACAGACAAAATAGACTTCAAAAAAAGAAAGTAACAAAAGACAAAAAAAGGACATTACTTAATAATAAAGGGGTCAATCCAACAAGAGGATATAACTATTATTAATATCTATGCACCCAACACAGGATCACCTACATATGTGAAACAAATACTAACAGAATCAAAGGGGGAAATAGAATTCAATGCATTCATTTTAGGAGACTTCAACACACCACTCACTCCAAAGGACAAATCAACCAGACAGAAAATATGTAAGGACACAGAGGCACTGAACAACGTATAAGAACAGATGAACCTAACAGATATTTACAGAACACTCCATGCAAAGCCAACAGGATACACATTTTTCTCAAGTGCACATGGAACATTTTCAAGAATAGATCACATACTAGGCCACAAAAAGAGCCTCAGTAAATTCAAAAAGAATGAAATTGTACCAGCCAGCTTCTCAGACCACAAAGGTATGGAACTAGAACTAAATTACACAAAGAAAATAAAAAATCCCAAAAACACTTGGAGGCTTAATAACATGATCCAATCAATGGATCATTGGATCAATGACCAAATTAAAACAGAGATCAAGCAATATATAGAGAGAAATGACAACAATAATTCAACATGGTAAAATCTGTGGGACACAGTGAACTAAGAGGGAAGTATGTTGCAATGCAGGCCAACCTCAGAAAAGAAGAAAAATCCCATATGAACAGTCTGAATTCACCAATAAGGAAACAGAAAAGAACAAATGAGGCCCAAAGTCAGTAGAAGGAGGGACATAATAAAGATTAGAGCAGAAATAAATAAAATCTAGAAGAATAAAACAAAAGAAAGGTTCAAGGAAAGCAGGAGCTGGTTCTTAGAGAAAATAAACGAAATAGATAAACCCCTAGCTAGACTTATCAATAAAAAAAGAGAGTCTACACACATAAACAGAATCAGAAATGAGAAAGGAAAAATCACTACTGACACCACAGAAATACAAAGAATTATGAGAGAATACTATGAAAAATTATATGATAACAAACTGTAAAATGTAGAAGAAATGGACAGCTTTCTAGAAAAATACCATCTTAGAAGGCTGAACCATGAATAAACAGAAAATCTGAATAGGCTTAACAACAAGGAAATTGAATTGGTAATCAAAAAACTACCTAAGAAAAAAACACCTTTACCAGATGGTTTCACTGCTCAATTTTATCAAACATTTAGGGAAAACCTAATACCCACTCTCCTTAAAGTTTTCCAAACAGTAGAAGAGGAGGGAACACTCTCAAACTAATTCTACAGGGCCAGCATCACTCTAATACCAAAACCAGGAAAAGACACCACAAAAAAAAGGAAATTACAGACCAACATCCCTGATGAACATACACACAAAATACTCAATAAAATATTAGCAAACCAAATTCAAAAATACATCAAAGAGATCATCCAGCATGGTCAGGTAGGATTTATTCCAGGGATGCAAAGATGGTAAACATTCCAAAATTCATCAATATCATCCAGCACATCAACAAAAAGAAGGACAAAAACATGATCATCTCCATAGATGCTGAAAAAGCATTCGACAAAATTCAACATCCATCATAATAAAAACTCCCAACAAAATGGGTGTAGAGGGCACGTACCTCAACATGATATAGGCCATATATGACAAGCTTACAGCCAACATCATACTGAACAGCGAGAAGCTGAAAGCTTTTCCTTTAAGATCAGGAGCAAGACAAGGAGGCCCACTCTCCCCACTTTTACTCAACATAGTTCTGGAGGTCCTAGCCACGGCAATCGGACAACACAAAGAAATAAAAGGCATCCAGATTGGCAAGGAAGAAGTTAAACTGACCCTGTTTGCAGATGACAGAATATTATAAATAAAACACACTAAAAACAAAAGCTACATCTACACCTATTCACAGAGGGTCCAGCCCTGGGGTAAGGCGAGGGGACAGCAGTTGTGGACATCCTTGAAATGCAAGGCCCCCGGGGTCAGCCTCTCAGGCTACAGCCACATGGGGGCTCAAACCTCAGGGGAGCCTCCACAGAAATCCCCCAGAGAGACATGGTGCCCTGGCCCAATATCATTCCCGATTGCATGGCGAGCCGGAGGCCCCGACTCTCCTCCCACCCCTATGCCCTCTCCGTAATCACTGAGGTAAGAGGGACTATATCCACAAGCCCACACATTTCATACTCTGACTGAGGCCGGAGGATGGGCCTTCTATGTCAGTTGTGGAGCCTATCCACTCATGACATGCCTTTCCTCTCTGCTCACCGCCCAGGAGACCCTGATGCCTGAGCATCCCCCAGTGCCCCACCAGCCCACCAGCCCGCTTCAGCGAGAAGTGGAGGACCCCTCTAGACAAGGGCTGTCTGCAGGCTCTGTCCAGGAAGTCGGCTGTTGCTGCAGAGGGCACAGGGCCAAAGCAGCTGCCATCCTTAGACGTTTGGGGTCCTGTGATGATGCTGTGTCCTGGGGACTCCCAAAAGCGGCCTCCAGGAGAGCAGGGGTGGGGCGGGGGGTGGGGGTTATGGGGGCGGTGGGCTCTCGGGAGCCATCAGGAGAATGCACGTGAATGTGGAGGGGGAACGGGGACGTCATCGCCTTGGGTCCCGGAGCCCGGGACCTTCTTGCTTTCGGCGTCCCTTCCCATGGAGAAGCCCAGAGCATTTCCTAACAAAACAGGCTTTATTTACATTTACATACAAAGCCCAAATGGGCTGAAACCCCCAATGCCCCACACCTTTCCCACCACCCTCTTATCCCACCCCCCAACCAGCCACCCCCAGGGGCCCCGCCCTCCCGCCTCTCCCACCCCACCCTCCCTGTCCCACAGCAGCCAGGATCAGGACTGGGACGTGGAGGAGCCCGAAGCTGCCCTGGAGGGCCGGCTCCTCCCTATTGGCTGCAGCGCCGCTTGCTACCCTTCCCTGTGACGAAAGGGTCCCCCCTTCTCTTCTGGGGCTGTGAGGGGCGGCCCAGCCCCAGAGCCAAGGCTGGTCCCCCAGCGACCCCGAGGCTGGCCCCTGGCAGGGGTGTCTTCCCAGCAGGGGCTGGGCCTGCACACAGGGCCCGACTGCTGGCCTTGCCAGCTGGAGGGCCGGCAGGGCTGAGGCCCGGCTTCTGGGGACAGCGGGCCTGGGGTACACCAGGGCGGAGGAGGTCTGAGCCCGGAGTAGGACTCTGGGGCAGTCCCCAGGATGGCAGCGTGTGCTGAGAGGCCAGGAGGAAGGCCAGGCTGGGGAGCTCCTCCTCGCCCTCACTGGGCCTGCCCGTGGGCCCCAGGGGCTCCCGAGCAGGACAGGTCTCTCCCGGAGCAGTGGCGAGCCTGGGCCCCAGGCTGGGGGAAGTGCGGCACCGAGCCTGGGGGGCAGGGGGCCGCCAGCCAGCCTTCAGGGGAGGGGGCTCCTGGCGTCCTGGAGAGGCAGCGAAGGCTTCGGGCCTGGACACGCCAGCATCTCCTCGGCTGTGCGCCTGGCGCTGCCCGCAACCAGCCTCTGGTGGGCAGGCTTGGTCGCTGGCCCCTAGCTGGGGGCCGTGGCCGGCCTCAGACCCAGAAGGCCTTGAGTCCAGTCGGGGTGTGCCGTGACTCGGGGGGGCCTGCACACCCTCCTCCTGCTTCAGTTCCAGGAGTCGCTTCTCCTCCAGCTGCGAGAAGGGAGGGCACCGTGAGGCGGCCCGAGAGGGCAGCAGGTGCCTCGCCAACGACAGCCGCTGCGGCTCTCCTGCCAACCTCACCCCCCAGCTTGGTGCCCCGGCCTGCGTCCTCCCTCTCCTCCCCGGCTCCCCCCATCCTCTCCCTGCCGTCCTCCTGCCCGGCCCCCACCCTCAGAGAGGCCCTCCCTGCCACTTCTGCCATGCAACGCAGGGGGACGGTCAGGAAGGAATCCTATCCTGGGGTCCCCTGCCCTGGCACACCCGGGGTGCCCCTCCCTCTCCAGGCTCACCTGTTTTCCTTCCCTTTCCCAGCTCACCTGTGCCAAGGACAGTCCTTCCTCCTGCTCCAGCTCCTCAGCGAGGGCCACGAGATCCAGCTCGGCCTCCGGGCAGGGCAACTCCGCCAGGAAGCGTGGGTGCAGCACTGCGTCCGCCTGGCCCAGAAGGAAGAGGCTGTGAGCATCCTTGGAGGGAATCCCCTGGGCACCCAGAGGACCCGGAGGGCAAGGGTAAAGCAGAGACCAGCCCCAGCCTCCACAACAAGGGGGTGTTGGAAAGACGTGGTCACGGTCCCCGACCACAGGCACACATGCACACGCAAAGCATATACACACGTATATGTGTGCATGCCACACACCCCACAAGAGACACACACACAAACATATGGACACCCACACCAACACAAGTATGCATACACGTACTTATGCACACACACGCACACACAAGCATGCACACCAACAACATACACACCCCTGGCTCACCTGGGTTATCCTGTACAACACGCAGACGCAGACACACATTTACACACCTACATGTGCACATCCACCATCACACACACACACACACACACACACACACACACACACACACACACAAGAGCTCAGGAATAAGAAACAAACTTAATCCCTGCTCCCTGGGCACAACCCAGACCTGGGCGGTGGGAGTGCTACTCCCCAAAATCTTGTGGCACCCAGGCCAAGGACAGCGCACTTTGGCAAGAAAGTACTTGTCCTGGGCACAGTGTCCTAAGGCTCTTGAAGACAGAAGCTCTCTCATTTCTCTCATGTTCCTTTAGCACCAGGCATGTCATAACTATTTTTGTCTAAGTGCCTGGTCCACAGCCCGGTCAGCCACCTCATTCTGCCCATTCTGCCTCTGCATTCAGGCTCTGCTGCCCACTCCAGGCATCCTTCGTAATGCCCCATGTGGTTTAGTGCTGTATTGTAATAACATTACTGATTGTGTTATCAGAGCTATATATGAGTTTTATATTATTCATAACTTATATAATACAAATTTAGCTGCTCCAGGCTACACTCACTAATTATCTCTCATCTCTGAGGTCAGAAGTCCAGGCAGCCAGCAAGTGTCTTTGCTTAGTGCCTCCTGAGGTGAAGCCAGAGCTTTTATCTGGAGGCTCTGGAAAGAATCACCTCCAGGCTCTTTCATTCCTGGCAAATGCAGGACTGAATTTCCTGCTTTCTTACCAGCTATCTACAGGGATTGCTCTCAGCAACTAGAGGCCACTCTTGGGTCCTTGTCCGATGGCCCACACCATCTCAAAGCAGGCAAAAAAGCGCCTCCCTCATCAAATCTCTAATGTCCTCTTCTGTGATGAGCCAGAGAAAACTCTTTCCTCTCAAAATATTTGCGATTAGTTTAGATCCACTCAGAAAACCTCCCTATTTTCAGGTCAACTGATGAGTAACCTTAATTACATCTGCAAAATCCCTTTTGCTATACAAAGTAACATAATTATGGGATTAATACCAGGGGCCCCAGTCATGCGACCATTTGGAATTCTGTACCATGAGCTGGAAACCATGCCTTAGGCAAAAACTGCCCAAATCACATGAATGTAAAACAAATTAAAGAGGGAGATCTTTAATCATGTGATCAGAAAAGAACCTGAGATAATCTCCCACTCAACAGACTTATAAAGAGAAGCCAACAAAAAGTGGGCCTCTTATTTTAGTAAACTAAATAGCCCAAGGTTAATTTGCATTATTCCTAAAATGTACTGGGTCATGCACAAAAAAAGAAATCTAGAAAACATTTTCCATTTCCTGAAAGCACTTCATGTTAGCAGCAACATCAACAAATTACTAGTTAGTTTACACCTGCAAAGCAAAATCTAGTAAACCAACAGGTGAGCACCTGCTTCCTGGAGGACCCAATATACCTGTAGAATAGAAGTGGTTTAATGCCAACATTCTGAGACCCAAGTGAAAACTGAGAGATGTGGATTTCATAGGCTTTCCTTACTAACTGGTGGTTTACACTGTTTTGCACAAATCCCATGGATGAACCCTGTTTCAAAAGAAAATAAGTTTTCTTTACAGAAAAAATAAATCTCTTTGTCAAAACTTCCAGGAATTATCCTTGGCCTGAAATATGACTCAGTGTGTCCCATTTTTGGCAGTTAACAAGGATTTTCTCTTTTTTATTGTGGTATGAGATATGCATACTACAGTGAGTGGCATGGGAGCCTTACCTGGCCACCGCTGTGAATCTGTGTGCATGTAACCATGCTACCAGCTTCTCCAGGTGACCTTGTTCTCCATTCCTGTCCTTAGTGAACCTCCACCTGAAGTAGCACAGCTTTTTCAAAACTTTATTGAGGGGATGGTTCAATAAACCGCATGCCTTTAGAGCTTATAGTCTGAGGAATCCCACATATATGGTCTCGGAACCACTGCCACAGCCAGGATGCAGGACATTTTCACGGCCCCCAGAAGATTCCCTGGGCTCCTGTGATGCTCTGCCCTCCATCCTCAGCTGCCAAACACCGATTTGATGTTTGTCACTATAGATTAGTTTGCATTTTAAATTTTTTTTATCGAAGGCATCATACAGTTGTCCCATTTTACATCTGGCCTTCCCACTCAGCATATGATTTTGAGATTCATGCTGTGGTGCACATCACAGTATATCTCATGCCACCACGAAAAAGAAGGAATGCTTGTTAACTGTCAACAGCACGTCCCTTTCTATTGCAGTCAATGTCCAGTGGGTGAATATACTACAAAGCAATGATCTGTTCAGCTGCTGGTGGATAATGGACATCAAGCTCTTGTGCATGAAGCTGCTTAGAACATTCACATACAGGTCTTGGTGTGGACTGTATGTTTTCATTTACATTGGGCAAATGTCTGGAAGTAGAAAAACTAGGTCACATGACAGGTGCATTAAGAAACTGTCAAGCAGTGTTTTTGCCACTTTGGGTTCAAAAAATAAGAGGGGTTATTAGTCTTTGATTTTAACCATCCCAGTGGGTGGGTAGTGTAGCTCATTGTAGTTTTGTTTGCATTTCCCAGACACTTAATGTTGAACATCTTTTCATGTGTTTCTTGGGCATTTATATATCTTCCTTAGTAAAGCGTCTGTTCAAATCATTTGCTCATTTATAATTGTGTTGCTTGTCCTTTTAATACTGAGTTTTAATTCCTATCTGTATAATATGATTAAGAATCATTTGTCAGATACAGGCATTGCTAATATTTTCTACCATTCTGGGACTTGTGTTTTCATTTTCTAAATAGTGTCTTTCAAAGAGCAAAAGTAATTGATAAATCCAGTTTATCGATTTTTTACGGTTTGTGCTTTTCATATTCTATGTACAAAATGTTTGCCTACTCAAGGTCACAAAGATTTTCTCCTAGGAGTTTCATGTCTATGATCATTTCAGGTTAATATTTGTGTGTATAGAGCAATGTAAAAGTTGATGTTTATTTATAAATATCCAGCTGTTTAAATAATTTTCCTTTCCCTATTGAATTGACTAGCCATCTTTGTTAAAAATCAGTTGACTCTCTGTATGGGTCTCTATCATGTCCAGTTGATCCATATGTCTACACTACTTGATTACCTTAGCTTTGAGGGAAGTCTGGAACTCAAAAGGTCTCAGTCCTCCAGCTTTTAGAAATTTCTTTGACTCTTCTAGGTCTCTTGTATTTGTAAGTAAATTTTGGAATTAGCTTCTCAATTTCTACAAAACCATGCTGGGATTTTGATTGGGATTGCACTGAATCTACAGACAGGTTTGTGGGGCTTCCAGTGAGTCCTCCATTCCAGGAACACGGCACACCTCTGCATGTACCCAGGTCTTCTAAATGTCTCTCTCAGAAGTGTGCTGTAGTTTTCTGTGAACATGACTTGTGCATCTTTTGTTAAATGCATTTCTGAGTATTTTATTTGGTATTATAAGTGGACTTTTTTTCAAACCTCATTTCCAATTGTTTTAGTATATAAATGTGAAATTTATTTTTGCATATTAGTCTTGAATCCTGCAACTTACACGAGTGGTTTTGTAGATTCTTTGAGGTTTTCTATGTAAGTGATCGTGCCATGTTCAGAGACAGTTTGTTTCTTTTCCACCAAGTTTTGCTTCTGCCCCTTTGTCCTGTTTTCTGCTGCAGCTCGATTTTCACTGCCATGCTGACTACAGATGAGGGGCAGTATACTCCTTATCTTGCTCCTGATCTCAGAAAGAAAATGTTCAGTATTTGGCAGAATGTACGAGATTGCATGAACTGGGGATTTTTCACAGGTCCCCTTCATCTCGTAAAAGAAGTCCCTTTGCATAGTTTGCTGTAGAAATAAACAATTGCACAATCATAGTTAGAGATTTTAACATTCCTCTCTTGGCAATGTATTGATTAACTAGAAAAAAATATCAGTTAACACACTGAGGTGCTGAACATCATCATTTACCTTAACCTAATTGCCATTTAGACACCATTATATATTCTTTTCAATTACGCACAGAAAATTACAAAAAACACAATGAGTCTCAAAAGTTTTACAAGATCTGACAATACACAAGCAGATTCTCTGGATACAATGGAATTGAACTAGGGATCAGTAACAAAAAGATATTTAGGAAAACCCCCAGTACTTGGAAAAATGCACATCAAAATAATGCATGCTTCAAACCAGAAATTGCTAATAATTTAGAAAAATTTCAAAGTGAATGATGGTGAAAATACAATATATCAAAATGTACAAGACAGACCTGAAGCAGTAGTAGAATGAAATTTACAGCTTTCAGTGCTTACCTTACAGGGGAGGAAATGTCTGAAATCAATGACAAAGATTCCACCTCAACAGGCTAACAAAATGAGCAAAATAAACCCAAAGTAGAAGGAAAGAAATCAAGAGCAGAAATCAACAAAATGTAAAACAAACATCATCAAGAAATTACAAAGCTAAATTCTGGTGTTTTAAGAACAACAGAGTAGGATAAACCCCTAACAGGCTAATTAAGAAAATGTCATAATGGAACACAAATCATCAATATCAGGAATGAACAGCTGGTTACTGCTTTGGATATTAAAGTTATTAAAAGGGTAATAAGACAATTTTGTGCACAACTTTATGCCAATCAATTAGGCACTTGCTGAAATGGGAAAATTCCTTGAAAAATACAACTTACCAAAAGCCACCCAAGCTCCCCGAGAGAACGGGAGTGGCCCTAGAGTGATTAGAGAGCTTGAGTTTGCCTTACTAAGGCTTCTCGCCGAGGGAAGTCCAGGCCCACACACTTTCATAAATAAACCCTGTCAAAAATCCAAAGAAGTAACACCACAGTACACAAACTCAGGAAACAGAGGAGGGGACACATCCTAACATGTGTTCTGAGACAAGTAAAACATCAACACCAAAGCACAGCAAAACATTACTGAAAAATGTAACTTTTCAAAATACTGAAGTTAACACTCTCATGGAAGTCTCCAAGTCTAAGTCAGATCCCTTGCAGCAGAAATGAGTAATTTAAGCCAATGAGAAATAACTTCAATTCCTAATGTCATAATATTAAACTTGATTCCATGCTGTCTTTTAAATGCTTGCATATTTGGCAATAAACAATTTTTTTTTAAGAAAAAAATATTGGCTCTGGGCAATGAAACAAATTATTGGCTTAGCAGAAATCCAAATATAGTAACTAGGCCCCTGGAAAGACTATGTGTTGGGAAAGAATTTACAGACAATGACAGAGGACAATGGGCCGAGGATCGTCCTAACAGGTGTGTAGTGCAGAATTTTATTGTGCATTCATGTGACTCCCGGCAGCTTCTGTTTGGACATAAATCCTTACCACGATTCCCACTGTAGCTAAATAACTATCCTGTTCAGAAGATCAGTGAGAATGGAAAATGAGAACCTTACAAACTAGTTATTGAGAAAAATGAGAACTTGTTAAAGTAGCTGTCCGGAACTTTTTAAATAGTTTCAAACCAGAGTGTTACCTGGAAAATAAAGTTCTGCCAGTGAATCTGACCACGTGAACGTCTTCAGAGGCCAGGAGATGCCCCTGAGGCAAGGCCGCCCCACGCAGGGCAACCTCATCAGGGGTCCCCAGAGAGGGACACACACTGCTGGAGAGAACCAATGGCGAGCACATTTCTGATAATCTGATGAGGGCCCCTGTGGCTGGCAGTAGGACAGCACCCAGGGTTTAAAAGATCAATAGAAAGCTTGTTCACAGTTGAAATAGGACCACATATAGGCAATCCGAGATGAGACTGCATGGGTGGTGCCAGCGGTGTCCACACTGCTTGTCCTGCTGTGTGACAAGGTGCCTGAAAGCAGACAGGAAGGGGTTAGAATGTTTCCAGCGAGTAGCACTACGGCAATAGCAAAGCGTGTCCCTTTTTTTTTCTGTAATTCAGGTTTATTGTATTTTGCAAAAGCAGAAATCAAGAGAGATTGGGGGATGCTCAGAAGAACAGGTCCTTCCCGGCAGAAGTGTGTGGCACACTGTTGAAGAACAGCAGCTTGGAGAGCGGTTTTATGACTGCCGGTTCTGGGGGATCTGCAGGTGATTAGCCAGCTGCTGTCAAGCAGTTCCTGATGACACTTAGGCGTCAAACTTTGCAATCCTTTAACACACTTCAATGAAGCAAAGTTGACCCTCTGCTACCTGTCCACACCCCCACCTTCCCCTGCATTGTCTGAGCGAAAAAGAAGGCCAGAGGCCAGTGTGTGGACATGCCAGGCATGGGCCTGCCCGGGCCGCGGGGTCTCCATGGGAGACCACGCCTGCCGGGACCACCAGGTCAGAGGGGTCCGGCTGCCGGCCAGGAGCCTGGGAGCTCCCACGACACCCGGCTGGGCACAGAGCTCCGGGGCAGCCGCCCAGGCCTCTGGGGACGCAGAGAGCACAGAGGCACTGCTGACCTCAACTCTTGCAAGAGTGTTTGAAATGCCTTCAGTTTTCCGAGTCAGCCCGCTTGTGATTACTTACGAATGCAAACTGGAAATGACGCGGCTATTCTTCTGCAGCCTCAGGAGCAAGCATGCGCGAGCCCGGTGTCCTGACCTCACACACTCACGGGTGGTGGCTTTAATTTCCCATGTCCCAGACGTTCCATTTTACAAAGTTAACAAACTGCAACCTGCGTTCGCTGCTCCGAAACACACCTGCCCCATTCTTTCTCCATTTTCCAAGGACAGTGAGAAACCTGGTGAACTTCGGCGCAGTATTTGACTTCCTGATAAACCCCCATTGTGGCCAGTCAAC